CTGTAATTTTTAATGGATATAAATAAAATTGAACAAAATGTTTATGTATCAATTAATTTTAATTAAAAATAAAAAATATGCTCATAATCCTAAGAAGTAATTTTTTCGGAGTGCGATATGCGAATATTGCTAATAACTTTTTAAATAGCTGCTACTAAAGCTGAAACTGTTTTTCGATTCTTATCTGCGGTCTTAAATATTAATCTTAGCGTTTACTTGATTTTAGCATATTTTTCATCAATAAAATTAATTGATACACAAACATTTTATGTATCAATTTTTAATGAGTATAAATAAAGTTTAACTTTATTTATACTCATTAAAAATTGCAGATTTTCCTTTTTTTTCAGCGCAATTTTTGTTTTTTCAATAACTGAATACCTTCGAAAATGACAGCTGATTAGTTTTAACATCTTCCCGTGGGACACCCTGTATATTCGTTGCAAGTACTGAAAATCTGTAGTCTACATAACGTGTACTATAGACTTTCAGCAAAGAGTTTTCAGTATTGGCAGTGTATTTCAGAACACGGCCTTGGCATTCAAGAAGTAACAAAGATAGAACATCTGTACTTGTTTCATCGACTTTGTTACCAAATGGAAATCATCAAATCACCCACTGTTGTCCGTTTCTACCAATGTAGATTAACTTTAATTTTAATTCAACTTTGCTTCAGAATGGCTTAAACTTACAAACCGACACTGATGCCTTAAGTCTTACTTACAATGAGGTTCTCAATAAATTAATATAAACTGTTTTTAAGGTTGACCGTTCTTTTCTCTTTTGTTGTTTATTACTCGTGTGATCGTCAAATTGACAAGCCGTTATTCGTTTGTTCTTTACATTTGAAAATCTGTACTTTTAATTTGTGACAAATTTCGCACCTAACACGCCCACCGATTATTAGTTATCGTGTAGTTGCGCAGATATTTTATATAGTGAAAAAGCTGCGCGACAACATCGATAACTGTCGATAGGCGTGTTAAACAGTTACAGAATAGCTTCACAACTCACAGTTAACTCTTAACCGAGGTTCAACTTATTTATTATCTCTTTCCAATTCTAGAATTGTGAAACTGAACCTTAATCAGTTTAATAACATCCGTAATTATGAAACTGGCCAATCATAGTTATTACTCTGAAGAATGGAATGACTGGCCAATTTCTCTCTATAACTACGAATGTTGTTAAACTCGATTAAAGGTGTCCGTGTAAGCGTAGTCACAGATGACATAGGCCCATTTCTATCAATGTGTTTAATTTTAATCCCAGTTCAACAAATTTCATCTTTTTCTAGTTCTAAGAATTAGAAAAAGGTGAAAGCCGGAATCCATAGTCTGGTCTTAATCTCAAGCAATGTCTTAAGATGCTAATACGGCTCTCTGATTGATTCATACACTAGCTTAAGACCATCTCGAATCTTGAGCAACATCTGAATTCCGCCCGAAGAGTAAATTGAACCAACAATACAAATAAGAAGTAAAAACAAGGCCATAGGAGTCAACGCAAGATGTATGTAATGCGAGAAACATTTGCTAAATCTTTAATCAAGAACGTTTCAACTCTAAAATTTGAGTCATCTTCAGCTTAAAATTACAAATTTGTTTAAAATAGTTACAGAATATGAGCCCTGGGCCTAAATCTCTTGCTAGAAAGCATTCAAAATATATAGTATTAAGGATTTTGTGATCTAATCCGTTTCTATATTTATACCGAGCACATATCTTGACATCTTTAATATGCAGTGCATATCATACCAAGCAATGAGTATGTTCGAATTCACCATTAGAAATTAGTTTGAACTGACGACTTGGCTGGAACGGACGTGTTTTGGCTTCGGTCCAAAGTGTTTTACATCATTTTTATAATTTTTTTGAGTATTTCTAATGAAATCAGCCGAGTGTTTCCCACACTTGTGTCCAATTGTCTTCGCAATTTGTTTTCGATTTCGCATTTCTGTTTTTTTTTTTGCGACTATCTTTTGGAAGATTGGAAGGATTTTACTTGCTAAATTTACCTTCGCGCGATGGAGAAGACGTGAGCCAATGAAAGAGAAGAAGAAGCTATTAAAAATTCAACGAGAAAGGTAACGATTTAACATCGAGAAGCTGTCATATCGAATAGCAAGCTTTATTAATTAAATAATACATTTTATACGAAATAACTAAAGCGTAACTTAGAAATGCTAGCTTTACATGGCAGTGCTTTATAAAGGGTTTATGGGCATTATTAATTCGGCATTAAGAGAGAGAGAGAGTGCTGAATTATAAAGACACTCATGTCAAAAAATACCTCGAATAATGATTTTTAAAAATAATCTCTCCGCAGTACTCCTTCTGCTATATATATAGAAGTTAGTTCTTACAACTGATCAAGGACCTTTCTCGTTGCCACGATTGTGCAAATAATTACTGCTAGGATAATTACAGAATTCGCAATATCCGGGTGGTCCTTGTGCTCCTGGTGGTCCTCTCGCACCAGGAATACCTTAACATATATGTAGAATTGAAATAACATCTTGCATCTAAAGTGATTACAATGCCAAAATATGTACAATATCGCAGAAATTTTTTAATTATACTCTGTAAATTATTTTGGAAAAAATATCTCGTTGCTTATAATTCTTTTAATAGTAAGTGAAAATCGATCGAAAATATTTAATATAAATAAGCGAAGAAAGACACATTCGATCAAAATGAATATCTCATAATATTTTTGCGCGAATTGGAAATTGTAAGATTCGCTCAAAAATTTAGAAGATCAAGACCCACTTTGATCAAATATGGCCTTCTTCGCTTATTTATGTTGCTAATCTTCTTTACCTGGTCTGCCTGGTTCACCTCTGTCTCCCTGCCTTCCGGGCAAACCGACGCCGTCATTACCAGGAAGCCCTGTCATAAAACGCAGTATACGATTACCGTAATTACGTTATTGTCCCAAAATCTATATAAGTTTTATTGCTAACTATACTGATATTTCATTGCTAGCTTTAAGCAAATAATTTTTTATTGTAATGTAATTTAATTTAACCTGGTAGACCTGTTAGACCAGGCGGTCCTTCTAAGCCGATTCCCTCGGGACCTTTGTCCCCCTTTTCCCCACGTTCGCCAGATAGCCCCTGTGGACCGATAGGACCCTGCGAACCAGGTAAACCCACAAATCCACGATCTCCTGGCAAACCTGGCGGGCCTGGATCGCCTAAACACAAATGAAATTATTTAACCAAAAAATATCGCAATCGTGCAAACAGCGAAAAATGTATTCATAAAATGTAAATGCACCATGCATTAGTAGTTTCCATTTTCATTTGTTTTTTTAACAGTTTGATAAGATTTCCATTATTATTTGAAACGAACAAATATAAAAATAAAAAACTAAAAATATATAATCAAATATGGGGAGAATGAATTGATTTATTAATGTTGGTAAGTACATAAAGTATGTACTTGAATTAAAAAAAGATATATCCGCTTTAATGCATTAAAAAAGCGTTACGTCCGATGATGAGAAGCTAACGTAATTACTCAACTAATCTAATTTTCGCATGCGCACGACAAAAGCGTCCATTAGTCCAAACAGGCCATTTTCCAGACATTTCAGAGAGTTGCTACATTCCGAGCGATAGGTATATACCTGGAATGCCCCGCTTTCCGGCTCGACCGGGACGGCCGTGTCGAGCCGGTCCCGATAATCCGGGTAGCCCTCGTAGACCCTCTGTTAGTTCTTTCAGTCTCTCTGTGACACATGCCAATATATCATTATTGTTATGGGCGTAACCGCGATAAATTCGGGACATTGGTCCCGAATCGATATCGTTAAATGCCACGTGTATCATTCATTATGTTATAGCTTTAGGAACGCGAAAGACGATGCCGATGATACTTGAAGCGTTTAAATGGCGATGTTATTACACTCTGTTGTTGCCTGCCAAACATCTTCTCTTGAGTTAGGGATTCCAAGATTCTATGTCCAAGATTCTTCTATAAACTAATAAAAAAAAACGTAGTAATAGATGATTTTGAATGCGATTAATTTGTCGTCGAGCACATGAAAAAAGCGCAATGGATTGATGATTTTGACTCGGAGGATGTACCTGGGCGACCTTGGAGTCCAGGGGATCCAGGACGGCCCGGACGGCCTCGACCGGGCGGGCCAGGTGGGCCTTGCATTAACGCTGCCACTTCGGTCATCTTTTCTGTATGTATAGGTGATAATAAGAAAAAGACCATATCACAATTCGGACATATTCCTGTGTAACGATATTACGCGTTGCCCATTCATGCGCAGCTTCTTAATAAAATACAGCTGTTGCTCAAAACTTTGATCAAAGTTAATCGGAGTTTAAGGGGGTCGCCTCGTGTAAACTGCTAAAAAGAAGGTCATGTTTAGGAATTTTTCTTTAAAGTATATAATGGATCGTTTAAAAATTTTTTGATGTTTTACTACATATATTATAAAGAGTAAAAAAAATTTTTTTTATTTCAATGTAGTTTATTTTGTAACTTTTATAAATAAATGTTGACACTGCCTCGTCGCCGGAATCGTGGGAAATCTAACGCCTTTTGTATTTGTCTGAAACAAAAGAACAAAATGGTTTCTTATTTTGTATGACAGTACCTTGTCGATGAACCTAAAAAATAAGTTAAAAGTTGAAAATTAACAAAATGGCGGCACTTTAAAGACATAAGTACGATTTTGATCCCAAAAATTTCAATTTATTTATGCAATAACAATTGTTTTAATTTATTATTTGACTAAATTTATAGATTCATCGATAAATTATGACATTAAACAATATATGTGCACAGGGACAACTCGATCGATGGAACAGTTTTTGTGAGTTATCTTTCCCACCAGTTTCAAAAAACTAGTTTCGAGAAAAATGCGTTTAAAGTTTTCAGTATCGAAAAGTAAAAGAGAAAAGTAACTTACAGCTAATCCGCTATTCCAGGCCCATATAATAATCCTTCAACTTCTTCGTAGAACTCATTTAACTCGAATTATTGTTTGCGCGCCAGTCGAGCTTCTTTAGTGTTGCTAAGATTGCGCTCCTGCCTCGTAATCCGTTCATCGTCGCACGTATCAGCGAAAGATTTGCACTGCATTCTAATTTTGATGTCCAGTGTTTCCATTATTTTTAAAATAGCACTACATCCTTCGTTGAAAGTGCCAGCAGAAATAAAGGCAGCAATTTCGATGATTTTTCTCCCGGAATTTATATGTTTCGGAGTTATACGCCAAATCATGGAATTAAAACTTTCATTTGCATTTTGTGTGTGCCCATCTAAACATTTTTCTAATAGATTTCTGTTAGACAATTCTTCGTAAATGGGCAGCAAATGTTTCGCAACGTCAGGATGAAGCGCAGGCGGGTGATCAAAATTTGTACCTGAGGCCTGAGCGACACAATACTTGCATGAGCTGTCTGATCCCGGCAGGCAATTTTCGTGCATTGGCTTCTCATTAGTGGAACATAATGATAATATGTCGCCATTATTGCTTTTACCATCTCATCGACGGATTCAACATTTCTTCTGATGAGCCAAACCGTAATATTTTATTAATTTTTTTATAAGACCGGCAGTTAACTTTCCCTTTTCACCAAGTTTCTCTTTAGTTTTAATATTTCGAAGCCGAGTGCCCATTCGTTTCTCGACATGCCCGATGCATTCACTTTTCACAACCAGAAAATCTCCGTATGGATTTAGATCTAAAATCGCCTTGAACGTTTTGGAATCTCCATCTCCAATGTAGTTACCGTACTTTACGTTATATTTACTTTCAGATCTGGAAAACATTTCTTTCACGGCATCCACTTCCATTTTACCTGCAGAATCGATATGATTTGATGCGCATTCTTCGTGTTCTTTGTACCATTCAGTATATTCTTCAGTATCTTTTTTTTTTACTTCAAATTGCACAAGCTTGGCAGTAATTTCCTTTTACAACAAGGTCTATTACCTTACCACTATAGTATCCTATAAATGTCGTAACACCAAATAACGAAGTATAGTTTCTTCCATGATCCATTGCCAGATATTTTCAAATTCGTTGACTTTCCATTTTTCACATTTTTTCTGTTCCCTCTTGTATTGCTTTTTGGCATAAAGCATCGAATACTATATTCGCAGAATTGTGAATGTGTTCTAATATAAGGCTATATGCATTTTTACTTATGCCTTTTCCGATGTCCATAAGGCCACAAAATAAATTTATGCCTTCTCTGCCAACGCTTAAAAACCGCATTACAAATACAATTCTTCGATTTATTTCGTAATCATTGTTAATAAAAGGTCCTGAATTTATATCTCTACGACTATAGCGGCATGTTACAACAAGTTTGAAACCGAGTTTCGCCCCCGATTTCCTATTTCTTCAAATTTTATATTTTGTTTGTATTTTCGGCAAATAAGTATCTCAAACAGTGCGCCAAATACAGTAAAAAATTCTATAATCCTGTAGTGATGAACGGGATTATAAACTACATCTTCACTACTCGCAGTACTTAATTTTTTTTCGGATGTGCTTTGTTCTGTAGATTCACCTTTATCGTCAGTTTCGAAGACTTCGACGCACGAGTATTTTCGCTTCTGTTTCCTTTCGACGATAGAACATCTTGATGTTTCAATCTGCATAAGTCGAAGTTTGAAACAGGACTGATCCTGGAACGACTGTTGTCGAATATCGCCCTTGTGTGATGAATCAACAGAGTACACAAACAAACAAATACGAAATTATACCTATCTGAGAAAACTGCTTCTATTATTACCGTTGACCGAACCGAACAAAGGGTCTTGGAGCACGCACCACCACGCTCGTATATCTGTACATCATAAATGGGCTGTAGCTTCCTAACTTATTCGAATTTCGTTCTGTAACTTTGGAAATATATATTTTCTACATTTACTACTATCGATTAAAGCAAAAAAATTTTTTCGATTTTTTGAACCGGTTACACGAGGCGATCCCCTTAAGTGACTTAATTAGTTTAATTACTACACTGAAGAAAAAGATTGACTGCTGCAGCAAATTAGATGGTTAAATATGGCATAGCATTTTTAATTGGCTGCTGCAATCAA